TTAATAAAAATTTTTGATTTGATCAATAATTAAGAACATAGCCTCAAAAAATTTTTTGTATTGAGAAAATTGTTTTAGAATTTAATTTAGAACAACTTTTGTATGAAATTTCCTGCTGAGAACGAGTGGAGGGGGGAAATCGTGTCGTTTTGTTACAAAAGTTCCGTGCCCTAATAATAAATTAATAATTAATTTGGATTTAGGATGGTTTTGGTGTTGATTTGGAGGATCCCTCAACAATTCCAAAGAATTATCTCAAACTCGCTTTGAAAAAGATTGTAATTTACCACCAATCGATAATAAAATTAGCGTACGATTTCGAAGATCAATTCAACGTGTTAGTTTTAACCGTTTTCTTGGCGAACACCGCAATATTATGTTTCACAATGTACCACGCATCGTTATATCCGATAACGAACGAACGTTCGTTGCAAGATTTCGCTTTTATCGTGACGATTTCCACTCAAGTTTTTCTTTATTGTTATTGGGGAAATGAATTGGCGTTGGAAAGTGAAAAGGTAGCGTGGACTTGCTATGAAAGCGATTTCGTCGGGGCGGGGTGTTCGTTTCAAAAATCGCTGGTTCTAATTATGAATCGAAGTCAAAAACCCATTTTATTAACTGCCGGAAAATTTACAAGTTTAAGTCTGATGACTTTCGTTGGGGTAAGTCAAATATAAAATCGAATTAATTGCGGTTTTGATGGACTAAATTTAGTAACTAATTGTGAAATTGGAATTAATTAATTCACGGTGCGATGATCTTCTCCTATTACTGTTTGATTGACTTCATTTAGGGTTAAATTATGAATTTTAATAACAATTTTTTTGTAGATTTTGCGACTTTCTTATTCGTATTACATGGTTTTAAGAAGAAATAATGAGCAAAATTAATAATTATTATTGTTTTGGGTAGAAAGCAGGAATTTATTATTTGTTTGTTAATACAACTAAATTATGCAATGAATTAATTATTAAATGAATTTAATAAAATCAATCGAGTACAAAACTCGAGTAAAATCAACCCGCATTTCATTCTTATTCCACAAGAGAAATCTCTAAACCGCATAGAACTAGTATTAAAATGGGCTGAAATTTAAAATAACTATGTTATTTCCTTTAATACAGGAGAATTTTTCTTAAAAAGCAAGGCTACGAAACTTCATGTAAAAATCTTACATGAAGAAATAAAAGATACACCCTGTATATTGCTATACAGGTGTTTCTAAATTGATGCGAAAGATTTCAAGGGTGATTTTTCCCTTCTCTTCCAAATTATAGCCCCTCTAAATTTAAGCGAAAAAATCTGTAACTTTCTTATCTCTTGAGTTTGATCACAAAAAATAAAATAAAAATGTAGACGCATTAAAAAGTTCTGATACAAAGTATTATAGGGGATTGATTTTTTCAGCCCCTTGTAATAACATTTTCGGGTTATAAAAGTGGCATTTTATTAGCAACAGTTATCTGCTAAATTTTATTCTTCTAAATTCCTCTATAGTGGATTTATTAAATAAAATTAAATAATTATTCGTGAGACGATCTTTTTTATAAAAAGAAACTATTTTATTTCATACTAATATTTCGATCTTCATCAAATGATACAAAAGCAACTACAAATAATAATGTTACAATAAAAGTTAATTACTCACAAATTATGTTTCTTAAGGAAATAACATAAATGAAGCCATAAAACGTTTATAACAATAATTGGAGATGTAGAAAGTTTATGAAAAATAAAACGTGAAAAGTGACAACTATATTAAAATAAACAAATCAGTACTCGTCAAATATATTACGTCACAAATAAAATTCATTTAAACATATACAGGGTGGTCCGTTACTAATGGGACACAGAGCAACAGTGAATTCCTTACATATAATTATTACGATTTAACCCAATTTATCTTAGTCCAATTGTTAATAATAACGAAGATACAGATGGTTAAAGTTAATACTTTATTTTCGTTTTTCTTTAATAATTTCGTTGTCTCTTACATTATGAACATGAAAATTGGTACATTAGTATTTTTTTAGACGATAAATAATAAATTGGTATTAGTTTTGATTTCTTTTTCAGATGGCGCTGTCTACCTTAAAAAACCACCCTTAAAGCAGTCATATCTTTTTCATCGTTAAAATTTTTACAACTCACATAACATAAAACAGTTTCTCAGACATTTTTACATAAATTTGGTATACCTATCAATATTCTCTAAAGTTCTCCGTTCCCGAGATAATCACTGTTTAAGGGCACTTTGCAAAATTTAATATCTCAGTAACATCAGTTGGCGTTGACAAAGTTTTTATTTAGTCAAACACTAGACAATCAGTTTGACATTCAGTTTCANTGTGGTGTGATACAGCTAAAATTTAACGGTCATCTACTAAACGAGTCGGAACTCGATAGCGTCTCGAGACCTGATTTACGCGATATAGAAAGAAAGAACGATTATTTTTATTTTAATTATGTTTGCCAAAATAAAACATTCATGATGTGAAATTAGTGGAACTTCCGGAAGATTTTACATACAAGTTCCTTGTGAAGATTGGTAAGTATGTGCAACTATACATATAGGAAACTTACAGAAGACTCATTAGATGCAGTTTTGATGGTGACTCGGTGGAAGCTTTAAAATGAATTAAGTGACTAGGGGAACAAATGTAACCTAGTATACTAGAGTGAAAAGGATGACGATTCATGTAAAAAAAAATTAGTAAAAGTCCTCAAATTGCAAAGATACAGGCCATCAAAGTTAGGAAATTTTAACACATTTTTCTAAATATCTTAAACACTATTTATGGTAAAGCGTTGAAATTTGGTACAGTGTAAACTAACATCACGTAAAATCATTAGGCAATTTTTGAGTTGGATCGGTACGCGGGAACAATGCTATACAGGCTGTTCATAAAGTTTGTTTGCTCAGAACTTTTTTATCCTATCATTACCCTACATTTATTTTTGCATTTTCTAATAGTAAATTTAGTTTAGAAACTTTTATCACTCTTAGAGAATATTGATAAAAACCACCGTTTCCGTATTAAATGCAAAAATGTTAGGCTCCGAATTCAATAACACTAAAAAAAATAAATAAATAAATAATTTGAATTAGCAATGACAAGTGAAAATCGAACTGAGCTGTCATAACTATTATGTATGCAACATGTCCAAGTGTAGATTTAGCTAAATCACATTTTTAATTTGTTTTAGTTGGTTTAATAAAAGAA